CTTTACATTTCTGCACATAAATACCCATTTACACAAAGCTGAAAAGCTACAGGCATAATTTTGGTTTTCAAATGACAGTGTTAAGTACAGTCTGAGGCACTTCTTTGTCCCAGCTATTGTGCTCTGTCAGTTCCCCCAGCTGTTGGGAATGGACTTAACACAACTACTGACCGAATATCACGAGCAGAGAGAGGGTTGTTCGTTACAGGTCATTACAGCCTGATGTGCCTAATTCAGAGACAGTGTCTTTCCTGTTCTCCTGCGCTGGCTTGCAGAGGACAGAACTGACAGCCTTCTGCTATCTCCTGGCTATAAATTACCGTGGCGGCACTTGCAGGCGCTTCGGCACGCTGGATCCACTGCATCTCCGTAAACAAATGCAGCTGCTTCATCACAGAAGGATGGGGAAAGGATAGAAAAGCTGCAGTCCAAGGAAACAAGATTATAAAAAGCAGGACTCCAAAGTGAGGCTTTGCTGCATGCTGTTTGTCAGTGCCTTTTTTAAGGTTAAGCTTCCAGGATGAGAATCCAGATCACAGTCAATTTCTGCATAAAGGTAATGGATATGGAAAGGGATCAGCAACTCTTAACGCCTGAGCTCCTTATGGAATTAATTGAAGAGAAGAAAAATACATCTACTTTCAGCAGTGCAGTAACTACTTAAGCAATAGATTAAAAAAAAAGTGTAATGATTCTTTTCTCTCTCATTTTCCTTTTCCCACATAAAGTGCAGTAACTACTTAAGCAATAGATTTAAAAAAAGTGTAATGATTCTTTTCCTCTCTCTTCATTTTCCTTTTCCCACATAGCAGTTTAGTAAGTAAATGCCTGCACTCAAACAGTAAAGAAATAAAACATAAAAGCAAAATGCATTTAAAATAAAAGGAGCTGTCTGGAATATGTTCGGTGAGTTACCCTCGAGTTGATCAGAACTAAAGCTTACCACAATGCTACATGTTTTTCTTTATTTATTTATTTAATGCTCAAGAACTCAAGTGGATTTTTCCATCACTCACTAAACAGAAGAAGAATTACTCACCAACTAAGAGACTTGCATTATCCCCTCCTAACTGAGCATTTTAGTGCAGTCTGAGTTTTAGAACCATTTACCTTCCATTTTCATAGAGAATGAGAATGGCTTTTGAGACTTGACAACTTCCCGTGAAACAGCCTGGTAATTTTGTGGCTGTGTTTTAGAAGTGACACTCATATTTGGAGAGCCCTGCAACCTGAGAGCTTTGCTAGTCATTTAACAGAGCTTCAAAGCAATCAGGAGCAGATCCTTGCCCTTTCTCTTGAAGGCACTTAATTTTGTCAGCTTGGCGTGTGCTACTACCATCTACTGGCCACACTGAGACGGCTGCATTTCCAAGCGCAAGGCTCAGGGTTTATTCATACATTTAATACAGCTAATGCCAGAGAATTTTCTCCTAACAATTACTTACACTTGGGGGCTGCATCAGACCGCAAGAGATTAGGACTGGCCTCTCTCTGGAGCTGAGGATTTAGAAAACTGTTGCTGAACATGTAGAATTCAGCTTTTAACCAAAATTTTCTGCTTACATAGATGTGGTTTGGAGGAAGGGTATGCCATGGATTGCAGTTCAGTGGGTTTGTTATTGCAAGAAACTAGGATGCTTGTTACAACATTAGGGAGGGAGTGACAAGATGGAAGGGAAAAAAAAAGCAGGGGGCTAAATTACACTGGAATTTTTGCCCTGGGAACGGAGTAGGAGAGCGGGGTCCCAGGGACTGGCTGTGCCTCCCTGTTCACCAGTGTGGACCGAGTGTGTGGCTGGAGCGAAGACTGGGGCCACAGGGTAGAGCCCAGAGCACCTGGCCCCGCTGCAGTGCCTGGGAATTGCTGCCATTAGGCCCGAAAGCACAGCAGCTACCTACAGCCAGGAAAGACTCCGAGCGACTACGGCAGGAAAATTTACTAGTCACACTAGCCGGCTGAAATAATACAGTGAGCCTCCCTGCCATTACCATCAAGGTCAGCATGAAAATTTATTCACCAAATTCTCAGATTAGGAGTAGGACAAGAGACCAACAATCAAGGGAAACTGAAAGGAATGGCAATAAAAACCCAGAAAAAGGAATAGAAAACAAGCTACGATTACATTCTTGCAATGCCTGCAATTATAGAGTTAAGTGATGACAGATTTTAAATAACTCCCTCACAACTCTTGCACAGTCTGAAGAAAACACTGTTTCAACAATTTTTCCCTTAACATAATATCATTTACATCAGAGTTAATGCTAGACAGTAATCACTATTTTGAGGGTAAGGTTATTTTTATATAAATGTTCTTCAAATATATTAAAATGATTGCAATATACCTCAAAAAATTGATAAAATGCCTATGGCAAGTTTTGCAAAAAAATACCTACCACCCTTCACAAAATTAAAGTCTGACAAAGTATGCATACCTTGGTAACAGCAGTATAGCCTGATAAACTCATGTCCTCTGAGCTCACTCTCTGAAACAGGAAACATCCTGCAACCCACTCTGCTTGCTGTAAAAAGGCAGCATTTGCACTTGTCAGTGAATGTGATGAAGGGAGATATGTTGGTTTAAGCTCTTCCAACTATTGGATAAGTAGGGTGAATTTTCATGGGGAAAGGAGAGAAGACAACAAAGCTATCGCAGTTCATGTATATAAACAGCAGATGATCTGGAAACCATGATGATGGTAAAAGGCTACAATATGCAAAGTCTAATAATGGACTTTGCATACAGTCCAACAGATAAAGCTACAGGCTTAAGACCAAACTTTGAAAACATTACTGAAGATGAATGTACGGAGCCAAACCATTAGAGGAAACATATACAGAAAAGCTATGTATATTTTACATGATGGAAAAATCAGAGTAAGAACTTACAATAGCTACATCCACGAAAGTTACAGAAAACAGTAAGTTGAAAATTAAACTGGGATTTTTCCGTATTTCCAGTTCTCCATAGCCTCTTTGACATAATTTTAAATTCTGTAAACCAGCACAGAAATATACTAGACACTAAGAAAATAAAGTTAGCCTTGTGCATAATTATGACATGAATAGGGAATTTTTCCCATGTTTCTAAAATTAGCCATCTTATAGAGTCATGTGAAATGTAACTAAAAGCAAGCCATACATTCCTATGTATAAATACTATGTAAAAAAATTTCAGTTGGCCTCACCTGCTAGCTTAATTGACACAAATGCACCTGCATTTTCACGCTGTTGCAAATTGTCAGAATGAGTAATCTTAAACAAACAGAACACCCTACAGTAAACACAGCCCTTGACAGCAGCTTTTAGAGGTGGTTGAAGGGACAATAACTCCCTTCTGAGGTAAAATTTCATTACTGACAATGTGTTTTTCCATGCTGGAAGGAAAAAACAAAAAAACAAAAACAAAAACAAACAAACAAACAAAAAACAAAAAACAAAAACAAAAACAAAACCCAAAAAACCCTCAAAATCCTTCCAGAACCTTTTGGATATTTTTTAACAATATGGCTATATGGCTAGAGGTCTAGTTAAAGAGGTAGCAGTCCCATACAAAGAGTGTTTCTGTCCTAGACCACTGTCACTGAGGTAACACAGAGACTTGGAACCAGGATCTTTCAGAACCATCTGCCAAAAGAACAATTTTTCAGTGAAATTTCACAGAAAAAAAAAAAAAACCTGCAGTTGCTTTGTTGGAGGAAACACTCCTCCATTAGCACCTTAGTATGATTATGGAACATGAAGAATTTCCATTTGGTAGACTGTTAAACTGAATTATTGCACGAAGACTAGAGACACAACCACTCTTTGGGATTGCAAATGCCGCTCTCCCACATATCTTCCTTAACTTTTTAAAGTAGGGGCTCCAATGTACATTACTGTACATGCGCATTAATACTGCTTGCAGAAATACTGTAGGTGAACAGTAAAGGCAATTTACTTCAGCAACACTTGTAACATTTTTATTCAAACAGATATGGACTAAAACTATGATTAGAAGTAGTTGATGGGATTTAATTTCTGATAAGCTATGCAAAAGATCTCAGCATTAAATCTTTAAGAGGACACTGGAAGCATCTCCAGTGAATATACTAACTTTTGGATGACAAAGTCATTATATCTCTTAATTTTTTTTTAATACCAAATAAGGATGCTGAGCCAAATTAGGTAAACTCTGAAACTCCTAAATCAGAAGTGACTTCATCTCGCTATAAGCTTGGAAAACTACCTGGCAATATTCCACTGTCTGAAAAATAACATTGTTCTTTTTGCAGAATGAGTAAGTGTTAAGGAAAAAATGTCCCATAACCCCTGAAAAATGTTTCAGGGTTCCTAAATTCAGGGCTGAATTTTAAATGCTGGCTCATGGACAGATTCCGCAATATGTAAAAACAAAACACTACAGCCCAAACATCCCTGAATGAAAAAACGGGAAGCAAATGTCAGCTGCCCTGTGGCTTGGACGTGATGGCCCACATGCACCCTTCCAGGTGGCATGGCAATGGAGCAGCGGGAGCTCTTCCCAGGGGAGCCCATCTCTGCGTGACTCATATCTGCACTTAACTCTGCCCCAAGCAGAAGGATTGACACGGCTAGGCCCAAGCCACCACTGCCACGTGAAAGCGCCTGCACAAACACCAGGACAGGTCCAAGTCCAGCACCCTCAACACCTGCAAAACAAGAAGGAGGTGATCCCCTGTTTCTTGCCATCGCAGCAGACAGTGGCGATGCCTGTGGAGGTTTCCCAGGAAGCACGTGCCCCCAGGCACGGCACGCAGAGCGTGGAGGACACGTGAAGGACTGCTGCTGATGTGAGCAGGGCCGTTGGGTTCTCTGCTCCTCTCCGTCCATCATGTGCCTAGGGAAGATTCAGAACGTGGCCACGCCGAGGGCACTAAGAGGGGAGGAACAGGCAGCGGTTGCTTCTCACATTCCCCACTCTTTTGGTGGCATTTGGCCATTTTCTTTGCTTTCCTTTATCAGCTTGCCCATGACGCAAAACCCTGAGAAGATGAGCTGGTCTGAGATTGTGCCTGGCTCAAGAACTGTGCTGTCCTGTAGAGTTTGGTATTTAGCATGGAAGAAGTGATTGCCTGGTCCTCCCGAAAAACTAATTGTTCTCGCTTCTCTCAAAATCAGAAATGAGGATGCTCTCTTCCAAAGCAGGAACATCAGCATTAATCTGTGGAAAATAGGCATTTCTGACCCACAGTATTCTACTGAAGAGCCTGTTGTTCTGCTTGTACAGGCACCACAAGAAAGTGGAAATGGCAGCCAGCATCACCAACGTTACTATAACAGCTAGAGCTGTAAGCCCACGATGTGAGGCTGGAAGATAAAGACAGAAATTTTTAGTAATAACTACAGAAAACATCTTATTACTCTTTATATATCCCCTACTTTAAATTACAACAGTGCAAACAAATACCTCACAAAATATCAACTCAAAGTATGTTATTACTCATCATAAAATTAAGAAAGTACCGAAATGAACTTACTTTTTCTAGAGGAAACTGCTGCATCAATACCTGAAATGGAATCCAGAATTGTCATAACATTATCCACAGAATTAAGAGAACTTAATATATAATCACTGTAAAATTGATACTCAGAAGAAAATCTAAATAAAAACAACTAAGAGCAGCCTGGTTCTTGTTTAACTTTACTCACATCAATAGGATTTCAACAGGCTAAGTTAAACATAGATTAATCTGTCACCTAAAATTCCTTAAATTTCACGGAATATGTTAACTGTCATTTTTGCAAGGATGAAAAGCAGTATTCACACACTTTAGAAAAGTATAAATGCACAAGCAGAACCGTGCAGAGGTTAATTACATCTAACTATTAAGTCCACCAGTGATCTTGGCATTTTGGGTGGGCTCTCCAAGTACTCGCAGACGCATTCCTAGTGGTCAGGTTTCCACAGCTCCCCAAGGAGTTGCAGCCTACGTGTACTGCAGCTCTGCTGAAGCCACACTGCTTTTCTCCAGGGCTCACAGATGCAGGAGAAAAGTCTATTGTGGTCTTCCGTATGGAAAATGCTGCCAGGTTCCTCAACATGAGATTAGCCTGGCTATTCTGGGAATTCAGCAATGCTCACAGTGTTGGGAAGGATATAAACCACCGACACATGTCAAGCAAAACCAGTGATGGACTGCAGCACTGGAATTAGGTTGTTTTTTTAAAAGCATTTTTTTTCTAATATAAAGGCTATAACTATTCCAGTGAAAGCTAGGAGAAAGTGAGAGAACAACAACAACAACAACATTGGTTAGAAGCATAAAATTGCCCTTTTTTGAGGGGGAAGGAGGAGGAGAGGGGCATGGACGGATGGAAATGCATACCTGCATCCATTTTACACACAAATCCCCTTTTCTCTCTGCATGAAGATAATTGCCATACTCCATCCATGGTCCTCAGGCCGATACAGAAATTCCCTTTGAGATGGTCAAATTCTGGCTCCCTGATGCCCCAGTTAGAATAATTTAAAGGAGAGCCATCAAACCAGGATACTGTCTCATCTAAGGGTAGAAGAGATAAATCATAATAAAACACTCTACTGTTTTAGTAAGTATCTCTACTTCGGTTGGCCTTATTGCAGCAAAGAAAATATTTCATTATTAAAGGAATGCCAGAATTTTGTCTGCTTGGCCACTAAGTTCCATTTTCTTAAAGGACTTAAAAACATATTACATAGTTGACAAGAAGTATCCTGTATTGCCTTCTGAAGAAAAAATAAATTCACATATATGCATCCCTGTGCCACACACTGTAGATGTCCCTGCTTGAGCAGGGGGGTTGGACTAGATGATCTCTAGAGGTCCCATCCAACCTTAAGGATTCTGTGATTCTGTGATACATTGTGCATGGAGATTATTATCAAATGATTATTGAAAGCTTGGCTATTTTTACTACATCATGAAAAGATAATAAATAGTGGGGAAAAACAAACAAACAAAACAAAAACAAACAAAAGAAAAAAAAAGTGCTCTGGATCATGGCTAGCAGTATTAAAATAAAACCAAAACAAACCAGATTATTATATTCAGTTCTCTTCCACCCAAAACTTACTGTCTGTAACAAGCAGAATGTTCAGCCAAACCATTTGCACAGAATAACCAAAATTATGTAATTCTTCCAGAATAAAGGCGTTTTCATCTTCATCTTGAATAGTTAAAAGATTAGATCCTATAGATTAAACACAGAATAAATTCTTAAACAATCCATGCCAAAAAATAACATTACATTTCCAAAAATTGAGAACCATAATTCAAAAGCTTAAAAATTCTAGTTGTACTTGGTAACATTTAAAATTTAAAATAAATACAAATATGCTGATAAAAAAAATAGTTTGATTTTTAAAAAAAGGCTGAAAAGAAAAAAGGCATTTTATATGTTATTCCAGAAACAAATATTTTTACATGGAAAAGAAATTGTTTTGATATATGTTGTAGTAGCTTCCAACTACCTTGTTGGCTTATTAGCTCTGCCACCATTACCTTGAAGTGGAACAAAAACAAGCCATGACTTCTGTCATTTGAAAAAATACTACTTTTTTTAGCTAACAAGAAAAGATGACATTTTATACCTAGAAAATAAATACCTTGATTTTTGCAGACCTCGTATGCAGTATCAAAACTTGTGCCCTGCAGAACTGTGGAAAAGCTGTAGCAATTGTTTTTGAATTTGATCCAGGGAACAGTTTTTTCTGAACATAAGCCTTTATAGTCAGCGAGTTTCTTTTCTGTGACAGAAATCACAGCACAGCTTTATTGGCACAACAAGATACACATTAATATAACGTTCCACACATTGTTGGGGGATAATGCTAATAAGCATGTGATTGTATGTAATTGTATAATGTTTTTTTATCCACTTTCCAAAGTCAGTATGTAGGTTAAACAGGGAAATTTGTTGTGCTTCTGAACAAAAAGCTGTTTTTTTAACAAAACTATCAGGATTTTACTCTAGGGTCCGGAAGGTATCCTTCTTCTTGAAGGTATCTGCTGGCAAACACTATCTTTAAGTATTAGATAAGCCTTAGGCAACATATGATTACATAATTAGACAAACCAATTAGAAAATTAGAGTCAGCTGCTATAGCAAACCCGTGTTACAGAGTAATTTTTGTCTTGAAGGATTCCAAAACAGCTTTCTTTTCAAGAGATCCAAACCTATAATAAGCAATATGCTGAGTGGCTGGTAATCAATCCTACCAAACAGGAACTATTTTCAGAACTGGAGGCTGCCAAAGACGCTGCGCAATCCTGGATTGAATGAGATTCTGGGATTGGATTCTGGGTTCAAATGAAATCCAGGTAATTGGCAGAGGATTGCAAGAAGGAAAGTCTATTTTAGGATGCACGAAACAAATCTCTCCTTTACAATAAACATTGCAATTTCTTTGCATGCAAGCAGCGAAGAGTGGACTGAATTTTTTTACTTTGCTCTAAATGCTCATCTTCACTCATATCCACAGTAAATTGTAGCAAACTTAATATAGTTAGTTCCCTTGGAGCTAGTTTATTAACAGTTATTATTTTTCACAGATAACATAGTGTTCATTGAATATAAGAATAGAAATTTTCCTGCTTTTTTTTCCAGTTCTGAAAATTCTCTGTGCATTTTCTTACAGATTAGACCTGATATGCAATATTTTATGGGGGTCAGAAAAAAGGTTTCACAAATAGGACCTGTAGTAAGGAAATGCCAATCTTATTTTTTAAAAAGGGAATACTTTTTTTTTTTTTTTTTTTTTTTGCTAAAAATGACTATTATTTCCTATCAAACCAACTCATTTCCTTATATTACTTCCACTGTCAATAGATTGATCTGAAGCTGCAAACATTTAATATAAAACTTAACTCTCACTTACTAGGTGGTACATGGCAAACTGCTCCTTGCAGATGTCGCTCACAGTTAGCACTTTTCCAGCGCCCCAAAGTATCAATATAAACACAGCTGCCAAATGCCTGGGACTCATCATCTTCCCAGAAGGTAAACAAAGACTTTGTCCCATCTGACCATTCAAAGTTAAGCCCATTCTGCCAAAACAAATTTAAGATTATTTCTCTGATATGTTTAGTGTTATATAAGCAATGTTCCCCTCTTCTGATGTTGTCCTCACCAGATGCAACATAATTTATTTTGCCTCTTCTAATGCTGGGTCTGCAAGGATCTTCACAACTTACTTCTCAGAGACCACAAACTACATCTAAACTGCTATTTTAGGCAAGAGATTATTCAGTTTATACAGACACAAAAATGAACATAAGTTATTTTAATGGTGAAGCTATAGGATACTACAAGAATCTTGTTTGGGGTTTTGTTGTTGTTGTTTTTTGTTTTTATAAATGTGTTTTCTATGCCTTCTAATTTTCAGTTTTCACTGTACTACATATTGCTAAGACCAAACTCTCTCTCATAAAACTTATACATCATGCTGCCACAGAACAGTTAGCCCTCAAGGATTTGGGGGTTTCACTTCTGGATCTGAGCTGCTAGCAACTTCAAAATAAAGATGTAGCTCATTAGCGCACTACTGAAAGAGTAGAGACACAGATATTCATAGATACAAAATCTGTTACGTACATTCGAGGTGAACAGCCCGATCCAGTGGTTGTATCCCAAGCGATTCACAATGACCGTGAGGAAAGACTGGTGATACCGGTCTGTGATGCTGACCAGCTCAGCTCCGTTTGCCATGCAGGTTTTTAAAGCTGAATACCAGGTAAAATTCCCACGAAGTAGTTTATACGTTCTGTTTCCATATTCTAAAGTCTCTGGCATAGGGTACAGTTCTGACGCATTTATTACATGTCTGGATGTTTCTGTGATAAACAGAGAAAAAGGATTTTTTTTTTTTTTTAATCAAATTGTTAACTTTGATGAAGCGGAACAGTTCCTAAAGAATCGGCACTGTTCTTAAAAACGAATGTATAAATAGCAAACTTTAGTTTCAGTGAGGAACTTCAAAAATTAAAAGACTACCAGAAAAAAAGACTACCAGGACAGTATCTGAAATTCTATCATTGCACAAAATTGGTCATAGGAGTGAATAAATTTAATGTATAACCAAAAAAAGAAAAAAAACCCCAACTTTTTAGTTTTACGAAATAAAAATAGTCTCCCATAAGACTCATGGAGATGGAGAACATCTCTAACACAGTTCAGCCTGTGATGCTGCCAGGCTCCCACTTGTACAGGAGACAGGAGGCAAATCGTTTTGCTAATGTGCAAAGTTTGACTGTATACTTTCAAAGATCCTTAAAATAGGCAGTGCCTCAGTTTTAATCCCATTTGTCAGTCTGGATTAATTATATCTGTCTGTAAAATTTCACTGTGATTACAAAAGGAAGTGGCTGCTTTGCTAACTTCATTCCATTTATGGCCAAGTTGGGATGTATATTAAGAAGTGTCTTACTGTATTAAATAATTTCTTCTTTGTAATTCACAACTCATCTACAATTTAGAAGTTGCTAAACAAGAAAAGATTCTGCCCCTAAGCTGGCAGACATATTGTGTGCATGTCACTGCTTACAAAATAAGTGGCATGTGCAGGGAAATGTTGCACATCCAGACCCAAGCATCACTAACACATGGCAGCACAAGTCACATCTCCTGCTGGCTTCCTTCATTTTAATCTCCTACAGAAAATAATGTGACAAAAGGGAAGGGACACAGATAGACTGGCAAAAGCAAAGCCTCATTGCCTCTTTGCTGGAAGCTGAGATATCTGAACCCATTAGCAGTCTGCTAGTGCCAGCAAGAGGTCGCGTCGCTCCTCCCTGGCTGCATATTGCTCTGCACAGACCTGGTGGGCGCCTCTCCCTGTGCTCAGCCACTGCAGCCCGCAAATGCAGAAGAAAATGAAATCAAACACAAAAGTAAAATGTCACACAAACTCAGCACTGCTGGCAGAAGGCGAAGGACCCCTCTGCTGCAGTAGCCCAGCAGCTCTCGTCCCTGCTGCATCGCCTTGCAAAGCCTTTGCCATCGCAAGGAGCAGCAGCCAGGGTTCTAAATAACAGGGGCTTTGGACAAACAGCAAAGCAGAGCTGGCAAATGCATTTGTTAACTGTTCCTACACTGGGCACAGAATTATTCTAGCAGTCCCCGCAGCTGTTCTCATAATAAATGTCACGTACATGTATGGTTTTTATGAGCCACGTATGAGAACTGCCTAAAGCTTATTTGTTTATCCTCCTTCTCCACTCCCGCTCTCGCCTCTTGGGCGAACAGCAGGAGTTGATCATCTCTTTAGACACAGAGCTTAACTAAGAGCTGATATATGAAGCCGAGCCATATAAAACAGCCACATTAAGCTCATAGCCCAAGGACACATCCTCCCAGGCTCAGATTACAGTCCTCCCCGTGCTTTAGGGTTAATAATTTGCTGCGGGGCTATTTTGGGAACGTGCGCTGGTGGTTTCACGCTGGCACAGCTGTGGCAGCCCCTAGGCACAGCTTGAAAACTTCCTGCGCGCTCCTGGGAACATCGGCATCCCGCACCCCACCAGGCACCTCTGGAATGGAGCTTGGGGAGGGAAAAAACAAACCAACACAAAACACCGTGTGTTCCCTGCAAAAGCTTTGTGTTTTTGGCAAGTGAATGTTATGGTAATAGAATTAGAAAAGCGTGAAAAGAAAAGCCACACTGAGTTTGACTAGCCAAGCAGTCTAGACTGTTCACAGAAATACTTTTTTTTAATAGAGTCTAGTCTGATCTAATTTTGCTAGACTCACAAAAACCAAAGCAGGAGATTTTCATTTTAAGCTCCCCACAGGTTTGCCTTTCGTGCTTTCATGCTGTTACTTTGCTTGCCATGACACACATATGAAATTTCATCCCTTTCCTTGTATCTAAGATATGCAACAGAAACCTCAGTTAGAAGCAAAATTTAACAACAAAGGCATAAGTTGTATAAGTTACTTGTTTGACTTATTAAATATTGTAGAGATGGTTTGTCTATCAAAATAAAACTACCTTAGGAATCTTTTATGTTCCTGGATTTATAGACTCTGGTAAACTAATCCCAGATGAAAAGAAGGTGATTAAAATGAATTAAACATGGTAAGAAAGGAGAACAAAAGCAAAACAAACAGCAAGTCCTTACCCTGAGTCTTTTGGCAGATAAAACCGTAATTTTTCTGACAGTCTTCTAAGTACCATTTTCCCGTAAAATAAAAATTAGGGTTATTTGATACCAGCGCACATAATGGAACTTGTTCTTGAGAGCTGGCACTGTTATAAAGGTGTCTCTGTAATCAATAATTAACAATAATTTTAAAAGACAGTTTCTAGAAAGAACGCATAACTGAGCAATTATAAATATTTAGGTAGAACAATGAACATTCCTATAAATACAATTTGAAATAACAACCTCATAGTAAAAAGTCACAAAATGTCACTGAACAAACTAAAAGGCCACTGACTAACGTGATGCAAAACAACACAATCAATTATGAAATTCACAATCTTATTCCTCAATTTTGCTCAGAGCTAGTGCAAGCTGTGGACCATATTATTTAATGGCACTTATAAGGAATTGCAAGAGAATGTGACTATAACCACAAACTGCATAAAATGCATAAACAAACATGTAGAGTTCTTTTTTTTTTAGCCACTGGTTATGCTTATAAATCTGCACCCACAGTAGTTTGAAGTTGAAAAGACTGAGAAGACTCAGTTGCTGTAACTAGTTAGGCCTTGTCTTTGTGGCTATCATGCTTATTACGGATAAAACAACTTCTCACCGACCATATAACCCCTGGAAATACTTACCTGGGCCACTTCAACTGGAGACCAATTGGAGTATGTTACAGAATCATCATTCACCCATTTTTCATAATCATCACTCTGCAAACCTATCCAAACACTAGTTTTCCGTCCAAATAGATTCATTGTTATGAAAGCTGGAAAATGAAATGGGAGTTAAAATATCTACTCCTAATCATTTAGGCATAGCTAAAGACCCTCCGAACATAGTAGAGCACTGAAAAATATATCAATGACTAATGACATTATATGTTTAATAGAAAGCAAGAACATGACTGCATTTAATTTCTGTCCAATTATAGAATGAGTTAAACTGATGAACTTCAGTTGGGTGAGGATCTGGCACATGTAGTTTGAACAACCTAAGCATTTGTTCTGGATATATTCTCTTGAAAAAGACTTTCTAAATTTTAGATGAAAATAAGACTTCTCAAATAAAGAGAGATTATTATATTCCCTCAAATAGAAGTTTTAGAAATATACCAAATTTAACTAGATTTTTTTTATGGCATCACATGGATCATAAAGATACCTGAATGTCCTGACATTCACTTTTCTAACATTTCTGGCCCAGATCTTATGTGCTATACTATAGATAAGATTTTAAGTCTACTGAAGGACAAAAATGGGACTGGTTTTACAACACTACAATGTTGTATTCGTAATACAGGCATTTTGCAAGGAAAGCTGTTAAGCAGATGCTCCTTTATTTTTTGAATTTTTTAATTAATTTGGCACTACTTTCTGGTACAAAGTACAACACAAATTGCAATTAATCCCAAGAACATACCGCTCCTACAGTCCAGTGGTTCTTTACATTTGGGAGACTGGGAAAGAGAAACACTTACCACCTTGTTTAAAGCAGTGGAACTACAAACAGTGTCTGAGCATTCTTTGTTCTTAACTCTGTACTTAAGACTGAACTCTACTACAGCATCATAACAGACATGAAAACGTATTTATTTCAGGAACATTTTCAGAACACTACCTTGTTCCATTTCATCGTCAAGAAGTGCGAGTGACGCCTCATATCTACTGCAGAAAGCTTGTGCAGAGTACCAGTTTCTCAGGTGGTCAGGATCTTTGGGGATTTGTATCAGAAAGCACTGTTTCAAAAAAATAAAAGGCATTTTTTCCTCCAGCATAAAAGCTATTTACCAATTACTAAGACTTCTAGGTCCACATCACCCAAAGAGAATATGCTTTTTCAGTGTCTAATGCTTTCCATCCCAAGCTGCCAAGAAGATCAAGTTGTGAATATCACCAGGTGGGCCAGATAAGATCTGAATCAGTGCCACTCAAATGTTTCACACACTTTACTGAAAAGTAAATACTTCATTAGTTTCTGTTCTGCAATGCATCTCTCCTACATTCTTGGTAGGGATTTTCAGCTGCTACCAATTAGGCTTGGAATCAATTCAGTTGTTTAAAGGTAAACACCAGCTGGGTTAAAGCCATCCTTGTAGGCCCTGCAGTTTAGCATTGGATAAATCTGGTCACCTCTCCATGCATGTTGCTGTTCAGGAACATATAAAAGAAGCCTGAAGAAATAACTGCCTTTCAACCTTCAATTGCAAATAAACTATGGTTTATAGTTACCTCTAAAGAACCCTATGTGAAACTGCATCTTTAGAAGAATGACAACAGTTAGGGATTTATTTAGTATAAGGAGATGTCAGAGTAATTTTTTTCAGGTCATTAAAGCCTCTTAGAGTTGTCATAAATGGAAAAGAGAACATGTAACAGCCTTTTTGACAGCGAATGCACAAATATACTTGGATAGATTTGCATATATGAATACTCATTTCCTTGAATTACAGTAAAAATTTCAACACTGTATTAAGGCAACTTATGTATGCAAAGCTGCTAAGTACCCAGAAGCCTTTGTATCACTGTGCCGGTATGTATATATCTGAGAGCCCTACTTGCAAAAGAGATGAAATTTTCAAATATTGAACAATTTTTAACAAGTCAAATTTCTGTCATAAATACGTACGGCATTTTGAATAACCAAAGAAAAATAAATGTTTTACTTTGAATCCAAAGTGCAACCAGCCTTTGGGACACAGTCCTTGTTGATTCTGGTCTTTAGGAATCTCTTTCTCAATTTTCCATGCAAATTTACGTTTACAAATGCAGGGAAGAGAAATGGTACAATTTTCATCACCCCAGAATCCTGTGGGGGGGAGAAAAAAAAAAAAGGATTATTTCTTTAAAATAGAATAATCGCAGTTCAACATTGACTTGAAAACTAGAAAGATTCTTTTCATAGTGAGTTCAGACAGTGGTAAGGCTATGCTTTACTGGTCAAGAAAGACAAGATTCTACATCAAATGCATATGAATATATAACATTGCTGTGGAATTGTTGGTGGAAGGGGTTGTTATTTTTATTCAAAATTTGATTTTGAAAGTTTAATTCCGTTACACTAAGTCCCATAACATACGCCTATATCATCATGTATTTTTAAAAAGATATTAATGGTATACAAAAAAAAAGAAGAAATATATAGAAAAGATGCCTTCCAAATAAAATGTTTTGACTTTCGTTCACTGAAAATTGCTGACAAGATCCAGGTACTGACATAAGATGCTGACAAGCTTGAAAGGAAAACACATTTTTCAGTGTAAAACCGTGCTATGAAACATTTGTTGACCAGTTCCCATCTGTCGGCCAGCTGATGGGAGGGAGTCCTTTTATCTGATACTAACTATAGTATCTCAGTTCAAGAATTTGAAAACCATGAATTGGAACGACAAGATTATGTACAAAAAAGGGTTTATATTTTTTCAGTTTTGTCTTTTGATTCTGGGACTACAGGAGTGCAGCTGGATTAAATTTTTAAACTCTTCTCACAAAGAAAATTCTGCTTGCCATGGAAGCTGAGATTTTTACATTATCATATGACTTACAAATCTTAAGAAAATACAGACTGTGAGATAATAAACAACACTGGAACTGGAATACTGGAACATTAACTTATTTTGATTATTGTTGCAAAATACAGATCCTAGTGATGATATAAAGGCTAGGACCACCAGATAACAAAATGTAAAATTTAAAATCCTTCTGCTAATTGGCTGTATAATCGGAAATAAGATAGAGACAAAAGTATTTAAGGTTGTTTGTGCACGGACATAAAAAACAGTTTATAAACTGAGCAACACTTTTTGCTACTGTTTCTTGGTTCATTTGGATATGAAAAAATTGAACGTGAAAATTGGCAACGTATCAGCATTTATGCCATGTCATGTGAAAGATTCTTAGGCAAAACAAAGATTCATTATCACTGGAGTATTTTAGGTTGACACTAGACCACTAGCACTTTTAACACACTTTTGTCCTATACCTTTGTCCCTCAGAAAATTCATGACACTTTTGCTTTTTTTTTCTTAACCATAAAAGTAGCTATCCAAATGATAAACACATAACAGGACTACAACAATAAGGAACACACTCCTTGAAAGCAGTTAAAAGATGTAAGTCCTCAGGCCCACAGCAGAATCAACAAGTCCTGCAACAAAGGGAAATATAAAATAAACCTGTTTGTGATGAAATGAAGCCACATCTTTTCCCTGGTTTGGGCAGATAACTTTCTCTCCCTTCATCCCAGTTCTGGTATGTTACTGGTGATTCATCTCTCCAGCTGCACAGAAATGTTAAGAGTGTAGTTACACGTTTTCCTTTCCTGACCGAAAATACTACTTATATTAGAAATTGTTCCATACAGATACAGGGTAGAATTGGCTTTTGAAGTAACTAAGCATTAAAAAAACCAAAGCCAGGTATATATTTAGGACTTTTATATCTCTTTCAGAAAAACACTGAAAAATGGAAATAAATTAAGAGTAATATATTCTGCATAACTTCACATGAGAATTTAAGCTGCCTCAAATATCCCACTCAGTCATCAAACAGTTTTAGTCTATGTAAATGTATCGTGGCTTGTTTACAAGACATGTCCATTACAACCCAGGAATGGCCAAATTGTATTCATACCGAAATTCGTCACTGAAGTTTTCTGCATGCAATCCAATCCACCAGTGAACATCGCTATTCGATAGCTACAAAAAAAAGAAAAAAAAAGTCTCTTATTAAGTCACTACCAAATCTGTAAAATCAGATTCTGTCCGTGCTCAGTTGAATAGCATCTCCTTCGGATTTAAGTGTTAACATGCACTAAACCTTCCCTGTTTTAATTTATGCTACTACTCCCATTGACCTTATTGAAGTTATGTGCAAAAGGAGAGAATAACTTAGTCCCAAGTTATCCCGGATGGCTGATGTGTTTCTATGAACAAGAGTGCCAATTTTGGAAATTTACAGCCTATCCAGTCTGAAAATTAGTACAGTCTTAAGACTGTATTTTTTTTCAACTACAAAAAGCCAGAGAAGTATTCAACTTATAAAAAGCATTTTTTTTCAATTTAAAACTGAAATACTTCCAGTTCTTAACATTTTCAAACTGTTTCCTAAGCATATTTAACTGACAGTACAGCCTCTAAGAGATGTGGATGAAGACACTGCGTCCAGTTAGGGTGTTCTTTCATTATGTAATTGCAGTCATGAATTGTTGGTTTAAATCTGGTTCGTCATGTTTCTATACAAAATTTTCAGTAGCAATTCATAATTCACTAGACACTTTAAAGAAAAAAACTTATTACAAAAATTCCCCTTCTCTTTTCTATTCTAAGTTAAAAGCAGAGAAGACTATGTAATGTAAGCAAAACTAAATACTTATAGCTAAAGGGCCTTTTTGACTCTGTACTGGTTGTGCTTTTAAATAACTAGATTTGGCTATTCTTTTACATTACAGCTTCAGAATATTTGCTCTCAAATAAGACAGAAAGATTGTACTTCCCCCTTTTTCTCTTTTTAAAGTTATTTATTTATTTTCCTTATTTCTTTTTTTACTGAGAATATCTGAAAGCAAACTGATTGTTTTGGGAGTGTTGGTTTAAATCTGGTTCGTCATGTTGCCATACAAAATTCATCTGCTTCTGCAGCTATTTCTTGTGTTGAAATATGTTTGTTACATCCTACTGGTTACAACAGAAATCCTGCTTTCCTACGAAAATTGGAATTTAGTCAGATGTCTTTTTTCCATATAAATATGTTTAGTAACAAGGGATCTGATTCAGACCTTATCATTCAAAGTTGTGGAAACATTGCAATGACCAAGTTGGCCTACACAAAAGGGAAGTTTTGCAAAACCATAAGCATCAGCTCTGGGGTTCAGAGCTCTAGATTTAATTCAGGTTCAGGGAATCAGTAATTCTTCATTCTTTGACAGCTCTGTCCAAAAGTAACCTCTCAAATCATCACAGTGAGGATTAAAACTATAAAGACAGTTTCAAACCTCTGGGTATATTGCTCACCTCATGCTAATGTATGACCTGAAACATCCCTCAGTGCAGTCACCCAAAGACCAGCTGCAACTCCCTGTGTGGAAACTGAGTGTAACCGTTGGGGGACACTGCTGACCTTACTGCACTGCACGCTACATCTTTTCCAAAGCAGGAGAAATCCCAATGGATGCAGAATCACCACATGAATGACGGAGGAGCCATGACACTTAAAGAGAAGGCAGCTGTGGGGACAGCTGGGTCATGGGTGGATGGGGCGAAAAGAAATAGGTAAATACCCACGCTGCATGCCAGACATGCTTGCACAAACACTTCTGCAAGGTTGTTTTTGTTACCTTCTTAATTTTATTTTGAATAAAGGCTTGTTCCCCAGGAGAATTTATTGTTGCTATGCCACTACGAAGCCAGCCACAGATAAATTCGAAGCTGGTCCAGTCCGCAGGGTTCACATGGAAAAGATATTCTGCTCCCTGGTAATATGACCACGGAAGTTCTGAAAAAAAGGCAAAAGAATCAGTGGTAGATTCAGATATTTAGTAATAACTAGTGCCTACAAGTTACTCGATGTAAATTTTAATTTGAAACACATTAGTTATTTTATGTTAGCTAATAGCTTACATTACATTTCAAAATTATAATATCTCAAGGTGTGAAAAAAGAAAACAATGTTCTCATACCGGATATGTACCAGTTCGGATTCTTTGGTTTAACACCTGCAAAATAAATGAAGTAAAACATTTCAGCTTAAGGATGAAAAGTGATATTTCACTCAAATTGCTTTTACCACATGACCAAAATTTAATAGCAATCATGAAGACTACTGCCATTCTTGTTTAAAGACAAAGAAAAATGGTGTGAAAGATGGAATAAAATAAAATAGTTGTCCCAGGTACTAAACAACACTTTTTTGCAACATTTATAAATTTTCAAAACTTACTACCTCCTAGTACTAGTCATTTTTGAACTACCTGCAAACATCTTGCCTCTAACTGGTCTTCAAACCCTGGAGGCCGCATGCAGTTTTGGTATGATTTTACCCAGACGACCAGTGAGAAGACTTTCGAGAGACAGATTAAAAAACCACATTCTTTTACATATTTTTACTTGTCTCCTCCGATTTACAAACAGTGGGTTTACCATGCAATGTACATTAACCAAAAAGCGGTGGTTAGTTCTTTCACCTTTTGGTATTTTGCATATCCATTCACGCTTCTCATTGCAGTGTGCTGGAAAGACTGTCCGGTTTACTTTGAACACAGCACAGTTTCTTGAGTCATCATCAACATTCTTGTCCTCCAAAAATGAGGATACAACCTGAAAACAGCATATTCATTATCTTTCCCCAACAATCCAAGATAAAGCACAGCAAACTCGCACTGCAGAGAAAAAGGATTAATTCAGAGGTGCTGTGTGTGGTGAAGCATAAGCAGCTTCCAGATTACTTAAGAGCACCACCTAATTATGGTGATAAAAGACTAAAATGGGGCCCACCATCATGTTCTTTCAGTGTGCTAATCAACTTTCCCATCTTATACCAAAGTCCTCCTTCATACAAGCAACTGAAGAATCACCAACAGACTGGCAGTGGTCATCAAAAGGCCAGCCCAATTCCTTTCCCCTTGCATGCTGCATGACTGAACCTTACATTTATTTTCTGAAGTCACTTAAATATCGATGACAGAGCTGACAACTGTTCTGTTAAGGCTGAAAAACAATTACAGTTTAAAAACTGACTCTTCTGTGTACTTCCAAAAATCATTGCTTATTCAAAGAACTTCAGATTGACATGCAGGGCCCGTATTACAAATACAGTCTTTTGAACGAGAGGCTTGTAGAAACATCTTGGAAACTCATCTGATGAGTCTTAGCTTTCCTTCAGTTAAGCTGAATTGATCAAACTTTTTTTTTTCTTTTTTTTCCCCCCTCCTTATGGTCTCACAGGTTCTTAAACACAGTTCTCCACCAGTCAACATTCAATTATTCCCAAGTACTAACAGCTGACTAGCATGTGGCACCAACATATTTGAAGATGTAAAATTAAAAGTGATATTAAAAAAGTAAAGATTTGATTTTGAATGCAGGCATGAATCCCAGTCAAAGGACAAATAAGGGATATAAGCACAGCCCAAAGGCTTTCCAAAAGGTCACCTACATACATGTGTGGTACCAGTGCCTCTATATTCTAGCAGAAAGGAACTGCCTAAACCTGGTCCCAGGTTAAACACAACCTGATCTGAAGGAAAGCCTGTGCCTGCAAAATTTTATAATCCTACCCAAATCGTTTTGCTGCTGCATAACCTTTTTGCACAGGAAGCTATTTTGAGAGTATACTATTAATTCTGTTGTAAAAAAACACTTTAAATGAAGTATGTGGGTATTAAAAAAAATAGTGCTTCTGGACACCATTTGTCTTTTCACATGGCTTGCTTCTGTAAACTCATCCTCAGCTGTGATTTGAGAGATTACTGAAATATACAGTATCAACCTATTTACCGGTGTTCCATCAGACCATTCCCATGACCCTTCAGAAAATGGGTTTCTTTTATTAAATCCAATCCAGAACTGTCTCTCTTCTGTCCTATGATGAAAAAAACAAAACATTTCTGACACACTTTTTTCCTTTATTGTTTCACAGCTTATTTCAATATAGTGTAAATAACCATATTAAATTATTGTGGAATTCACTCAAATATCATACTGTAATGCACATGCACTTATTAATATTTTGGGGTTTCTTCAAGCTTTTTTTTTAATTAAAATGTTAAATTATAGTGCTAAAGAAGAAAAAATCTAAAATAATAGTCAGATTGCATAGCCTCCATTTCATCTAGTGAATGTTAACTCACAGGAATGTCATGTTGACTTTAACAGTTGCTCTACGTCTACTACAAAGATCTTTAAAAAGAATCATATTTCAGTGCTGTTATTGCACTACTTTTCACTGATTTCTAAATTCATGTTAGTCAATAGGAGAGACTTCAGTTATATGACACAAGTAAAGAGGACAGGAGGACTTAATTCATCAATTCTTTTCTACATACCATTATGTTTAAAATAAATGATTGACATTGATAATTACCTGTCAAAAATGGTATATAATAAATTATTTAAAAAATCCTCTTCATAGATATGAGTAAAACTAGCAAGATGTCCTCCAAAATCTTGGCATAATGTTTCTGCTTCATCCCATGTTCTTCTCATCAGAACTTTCTCATTGTGAAATATCTGCAATAAAATAAACACCCCTGTAAAAACAGCTGATTTTGGAGAGCAGTGGTTTCAGAAGCTCATAAAAATCAAATATTATTTGCAGGTTCTCTTACAATAGAGGTGTATTACTGCAAGTATAGTTCTGGTTCAAATCTTAAGTCTTTCATTTACTTTAAAATGCAGTGAAGAATGGTAACAATTAAATGTTGTTTGCTGAGTAAAAGAAATAAAGCTTTATCAAAATGATTTTAGAAATGGCATCTGAAAATCGACATAGAAACAGAGAAACTCAAAGCAAGTTTGTCTTTTTACCTTGTAACAGCTGAGCAGATTACTGTCTGACTCCCATCCAAAATAACAGGAGCTCAAATGTTTTTGAAAAGTAAGTTCAGGTTCCTCATAAGATGAGATTTTTTGCTTGCACAGTGACATCGCTTTGAAGTCCTTACAGTTTTTCACCTCCCAGTAACCAACCGGGTTCCCTCCTCGCATAGCCACACATCCTCCAGAATGGCCTAAAACAAGAGAATAAATTGTGAGTATAAGAATAAAGCACCTGAATTTCATGAATTGTGTTCAGTTAGCATCAGGTTCTGGATACTACCTCAGTGAACTTATGAAAATAGCATCCAGCATCTGCCTGACCTGACCTCAACATGCTGACCTGGGCTCACCTGACCGTGACACAAGATTCTTTTCACAAAATGCTAGAGACAAAACGCAATTTTTAGAAAATACAGTAGTAAAGGATAAAAGTAGAAAGTCCAAAATTGAGAAGCAGTTAAGTGATTTGGAGCACTTTAATTTTTGTATCTCTATCCTGAGGCTTAAATTTTGAAACAGTGTCCGGGCACGAAGCAGGGAAGGAAGGTCAAGCCTCCCCTAAGCTAATCTGGCTAAACCTGCGGAAGGAAGTTACACTTTTTTACATCAGTGCATTACTCACGTGGCTGGTGCTTGTTCCAGTTTGCGTAGCTCATGGAGCGATTCTTCCCGTCTGCAGTTAGCCAAAAGTACTCTCCTGTGTTATTAAGGTCTTGCAGGCCTATCCAAAAATAAGTTTTCTCAGATTTTACCATGCTATGGATCATACTGTTGATAAAAGCTTGCTCGAACCTTAATAAAATGAACAAGACAAAAAAAATTAGAAAAAAATAGAGTAATTGGTATTTCAGTGAAGAGCTCTCATGATATGATTTAAATAAAGAGAAAAATATAAAAGGTGCTTCATTTTGTTTATAGAAGTCTGTAGGCAATTTCAAGCATAAATCTGTAGTATAAACTGTATTTTTTCCCTTTTATGTTACACTGTGCACATACAAAAAGCAGTATATTAAGAAACTCAGTGCTCATGCTACGGGATGTGGAAATAAAATGTAGAAACGATGCATAGCTAAAAATAAGGAACAACTTGTATGAAGATGAAAAGACAGAACAAAAGTTCAATGAGGTCACAGACATACAGAAAAGGAAAAGCTTTGCACAGAACTATCTGGCTTGAGCGGGACACACTAAGACATTAGAAGAACTGAACAACTCAAAGCACCGCAGAAGGAATCACTTTTCCCATTTTAAATTTTCTTCACTAAAATACTGTAGGCCTTTTTCAAGTAATAAATGTTCCATGAGTAAACCCTTTGTCACTTAAATTTAATTAAAGATATAAATGGTATAGCATTATACCAAAATATGCTTTAATTTATTAGCACATTTAATCAGCTCACTATGAGAAGATATACAGCATAATAACTTTCCAGTCTGATGAAGACTTTATTACCTTCTTGATTTAACACATTGTGAGAAGAATTATTAAATACCCTAAGAATGATGCCAGTAAAACCTGAATGTATCTGTAACTCTGAGAGTGACTGAGGACTTTTTAATTTCATTTTCTTCTGCACATTCTCTCTTTATATCAATTCTCCTTTGCTGTACAGCCTACATTTAAATAAACACCTTAATGAAAATTTTAGGCTCAATACATGGAAAAGTTCTTATACTTATCCCAACAGAAAAACAAATTAAGCAGTAAATAAAAAAAATCCAAGCTAACAGCTAACTTCCTCTGCCACTCTATTATTGAGACTGGAAATACAGAGCACAATACACAGAGATGGCTGTTCATTTTGACCAGCAAAATAAAACAAAAATAAGGAGAAAAATCCTGACACATTCCATCGCTCTTCCAATGATGCGCAGCATATTCTTGGCTCCCTATGAAGTTTGAGCTGTAAATGCCCAACTGCCCCAAATTTGTCCTTTATTCTGCTAGTAAGGGTCCCTGTTGTACTGCAGGATATTACAGCATTTGCTGTGCATAATCCTGAAATCACCTAGCAAGCAAAATTTCCATTAATATAATTCCTTATTTTAGGTAGCTGTACAATCCTAAAAATTCTAGCTATCCCTCATCTGTTTGCTAGTGGTTACAGTATATCCCTCATCCTAAAGGAGGGAAGATTTCTTCCTGAAGGTTATTACCATAAATATATGTAGCTTAAAATAGGTATGTTTAGTTGGCACACCAACGTGTCTCAAATTTTTATGGGATTTCACCATAAAAGATAAGTCAGAGAGAGATCAGGGAACATCCAAGCATTTGGCTATTTGCAGTCAAGAAAGTCTTTCTGAAAACAGTACAGGTAAATAGAAACAAAGCAAGGAAGGACAGTGCAGTTAAATGCTTTTCACACATGTATTCTCTCCCTCTATTTGTTGGGGAGCCATGTAAAATGAAAAACTAAACAGAAACATTTATAAACAATAATTGATTTGCATTAAAATTTGACATGTTTTGATTATAAAAGTTGAACATATCATCACTTTTCAATAAAGTTGCCAGGCACACTATAAAAGCTTTCTAAATACCTTACATACCTCTGTAGAAAACATTTTGCTTCAATTCCTGTATACTCACATAAATGCACACTGCTAGACATGTAAACCAATCATACTGTTTTTATTCCAAATTTAATTTCAATTCATGAATGAAGCAAAACACACTTCTTATTTTAGCCAATGTTAGTAATTATGCTTAGCTCTCACACAACTAAGTAACATTTTTTGCCATGCATCACTTTCTAAAGTTAGAATAGCTCTTGTTAACAGTATCTGCACGCTGTCTAATAGGATTAACTACCTGTTTGTTACTGATACAAGTGCAGGTGGGCAGAAATAACCACTGGAAGCATGTTCAAAACTTCGAGGGGTACTGTCGATTTTGTAACAAAATCCACCATGTCTTTCCCATCCCTTAAAAGAAATGAACATCATTTTATAGATTATTATATAGTTAACAGTCAATCTGTTTGTTAAAGACTTGATTCCCTGCTGTGTTTTCCATCTGATCTGCACTCATGTTCCTGTAGCCCTTTTCTTTCTACCAACACAGTGCGTAGCTGGGCTTGCCGGTGCTCTCTTACTCTACCAGAAGTCGTCACTTCAATCTCACATACTTGTATGTGAACCAAACAAAATTAAGGAACAAGAATGGGAAGTATATTGAAGAAGCAAGATGATTCTGAGCTCAGTTTTCCTTACAGAAGAAGCCCTGATAAAGACAGGACATCAGAACAAATGAGTTCTCCACACCAGAACCAAAATAGAGACAACTCTGTTTTCCCTGGAAAGCATGCAAGCTATCATGTCTAAATTCTGATCTGAATACAACTAAAGGCCTCACTCAGGATTCAGAGACCAAAATCCATTCCTTACTGAAGACATTACATGTTTTCCACTGACCATATGGAGCTGGATTCTTGGCAGTATATACTAAACTCAATTTAGGTGGCTCAAGGATTTTTAGAAGTGAAAAATAAATCAATGACAGGAGAAAAAAAAAAAGGACAGGTAAGAAGAAAGGGGTAGTAAAGCATTTGGAGTTATAAGATATTGAATAGGTGAACAGGCCAAGCATGGGTCAGAGGTGATGACCTCTTCCTTCTTCTGCAGCAGGAGCTGGGAGAGGACCTGAAGCAGCTTCCTTCCACAAGGGGAGCTGGGATAGGACTCAGAGCAGTTACTACTGGGAAGGGCAGGGAAAAGCTTGTTGATGTCACGTGGCTGACTCAGCCCTTGACACCAGTTGAAAAAGGTGGTAACGTTTTTGATGGGTATGATAAAAAAAAGGGGGCAACTTCAAGGTGATCCTTCCCAAACTACATTTGTTTCAATTTGGTACTTTGAATACTGTTTTACTGACTCAGTTTTGGGGATGCCAAACCACTCTGATAGCCATCTCTCTGGCACATTGTAGTAATTCATTACTGATATCTAATACCTGCCTGAAGTGTAAGATAAACACTGCATGTTGGATTCAGTCAAGTCATAAACCAAAAAAAAAAAAAAAAAAAGAGCGATTACAGGATTACAGCAGTCCCTTTGTCTTCAATTGAAAATTGAAATACATACTCCAAAACACAAGCAGCTTCAGTGCTGGCTTTTCAAACAGCAATACACTCTAGTTATTTATCTTTTCCTCAGCTCTTTTTTTCAAGATGGACTTCCAAATTAAAACAAAAAACACTCATACTCAATGCAGAATTAAAATTATAAATTTTCATGGCTTATCAAATAAGCCAGAATACTGAATCAGTGGTAAGCCTACCTCATTAACCCCAATCTCTGGACGTCAAAAAGACTATACCACCTCTGGTCTGAATTGTGCCTATGTGAGTACATGTATCATGCTTGCTTGGACTTCCTGCTTGAGTGTTTTAAATAAAGAAGAGAATACAGAGATGTTAAACCATCTCCATCTAATCTATCCCAAAAGTGCACAGAAACGGGAACATGTCAGTCCTACTTTCCATGAGGGAGATGCTGCTTCCCAGGGAAGCTCACAAATCAAGCACAGCATATCAAACAAGCATAATATTGAGACAGACACCATCAAGCACAACTTGACAGTCGTGTTAAGAGGAAAATGAGAAAAGGCAGAAATGAATAAGCCCGTTCTTGGTTGTAGTTCAAGAAAATGCATAAGAAGATGCTCCCGAGACCTATTCAGGATCATAATCAAAGCATTACTGAACATTAAGCATATACTCAAGTCCTTCCAAGTCTGAGGAGACAAATTTCATCTTCTAGTTAAGAAATGTGTTTAACTGGTATCAGGAGTATGCAGAGTAACTGACAGAAAACACAGCCTCCTTTTACAGTCATCCCCCTTTGGTACTTGGAAGATTGCTGTAGATGCTGCACATAGTATCCCACATGGCACAAAAATATACAAACAAAAAGAACTATAGTATTGGTTCTATATTTTCAACCAAGAACAGTACCTATGCATTATTCAGAAGTCACATAAAAAAAAGTTGGTTTGTAAATAAGCCATTGATTGGATTGACTAAGAATCCCCCTTATCTCCAAACAAAAGAGCTATGACTTCATTAAGGGAAAAATATGTTTTTACATGAAGAGAATTCTGCAGCATCCTGGGATACAATGGGGATCCTGTAGAGCCCTGCAGAACTGAGGGAGACATAGCAACATAGCCTACACCATTACTAGTTACTGCAGTGAGAGAAATGCCGTGCTGACACAGTCCTTCTTTGTTCACACAATATGTTCACGGCCTCTGCATGTTTCATTCCTGTTCAAGTGTTTTGGCGTTTTCAGCTGTTCAACAAATTTCCCCTTTTTATTACTCTTGTCTGCCCTCTTTGGCAGAGCACAGGATGTCAGAAATTAAATTAACTGTGGGAAAAGTTGTGGTACAGTCAGAATAACAAATCACCTGGAGCCTACAGCAGTCACCTCAGCACCGTAAGGGGATGCAGATAAGGAGGCAGTGCATGACCCTTCTCTTAAAGCTTCCTTGGTGCCTCAAGACTAGAAGTAAGCTGACACTAATCTTTAACCAAAAAAAAAAATTGCAGAGGAACTGCAAGCTGGTATGTTTTTAGTGAGGGCAAGCATAGGTCGAGAAATCCAAACTTGAAGGCTGAACAATTGGACACTAAATGGAAAGATCCACTCCACTAAATGGAAGATAACACTCAATGGAGATAAATATGAAGAGATACACATGGGGAATCACCCCTTCCTTCCTCCTAGACTCCCCGATCCTCTTGTGTAAAGCAGGGACAGCTACCTCAATCTCACCGTGCGGAGTCAGGGTCTAGGAAAGTTAAGTTCTGTGAAAGCATCACCTCAATCAAAAGACCATTCTGACCACTGTTTGCCATTTTTAGAGCTCTGATATCCAATCTCAGACAGGCATGGGCATGTTAGAAAAGCAGGGCAACTGGATGATTAAACATATAGAGCTGCTTCCACGAGGAATAATTGAGTAGACTTGGACCAAAAAAAAGAGAGAGAGAGCGAGAGAAAGAACTTAGGAAGAGTATGACAGAGGTCCACAACACAGCAAAGCAGCACGAACCTGGACGGCTACTTCAGTACAAGACCCAGGGGACAGCAAATGGAGCTAAACTAGCAGGAAATAAGTTCCCCACAGAAGGTGTTTTTTTTTTCCCCCCCTCCATGCAAAGGGAGTAGCAGTGTTATAAATCTCCTCGTTGAGGGATGTTGCAAATGCCAAAAGTTCAAATGAGTTCAAGGGGAAATTGGACAAGCACTTGGAGGGGAAATCCAATGAGGGCTGTTAAATACACAAATCATAATAGACTCAGGAAATTCCCTGACTGGGGAGGTGGGAGAGAAAGAGAACATCGGACAAGTGCAATACACTTTTGCCCTGTCCTGCTCTTCCCTGAACATCTACTTGCAGCCACTTGAGGAGGCAGAAGAGGGGATTCAATGGACCATTATTCTGAAGAGCTGCACTTCTCTCTGTGAGGTTTCACGGTTCTCAAATAGCAGTTCTCTTTTCAAAAGGACACTTCTCCCCTGCTACAATAGCAAGAAAGATAAATACTCAGTACTGTACTATAATCTTTTGATGCATGAATTAAAGCATAGAGGACTGAAGAAAGTCACTAGTATAAATATGGTTTCATACACAATGATTCACAACTCTGCTATCAAGCAGCTCAGAGTTCCACAACCCATTCTAGAATCTGGGTGTAAGGAAAATGCAGAAAAACTGTTTCAGATGAAAATGCTGAATAACTATTAAGGGGAAAACTGCATAAAGAACCTGACCTCTACTACAAAACATCTATTCTCATTAACAGCCTATTAGGAAAAAAAGAATAGTTGAACTGCAAAGGAAAAAAAACAGTGCATAACATATCATAAATCTCAAGAAGACAGAAAGGGACAAAAAATTCAGATTTCCACAGTAACTTGGATCTGCAATAACTCCAATCTGCAGAAGCACAGAAAATTTCAGAAGGCAGCTTATCTGATTAACAAGTCATAAAATCAATATCATAAGATAAAAGCTCAGTAAGAACAGATAAGACTAGAAAGCTTTATAAAAGTAAACAACTATGCCTGAGGTCAAAGTTCCCTGAGAATCTAGCAGCAATCAAACATAAAAAACACTAAGAGGTTAATGAACTAAAAGATCAAATGTGAGAAATGCCAACCGATATTTTGTGCATTTAAGATAGATCGGCAAAAAAAGAATTAAAAAAAATCTGGATAAAAGTAAGCTATCCTCGAAAAATTAGGCCAAAAACTAGTTTTCTGTACTAACATTGCTTACAACTGCAGCATCAAGAGCAACACCAAATATATTGAATGGAAAAAGTCTGTCAAGACGAAATGTCTAAAATAAAATGAAACTTTAAATCTACTACCAACTTCTTTTGATGAACTGAATATAATTCAAGGAACTAAATCAAGGTTCAGCATCTTTTTACAGGAAACCTTACAAGCAGAAATTTATCCCAATCAGGGAGGTTGTCATAGCATATCACACTGCCTATGAGCAATGACTGAATTTCCTGAGCATTGCTCTTGTAACATACCAAATGTTGAAGTATGAAACTCCTGGCAACTCACATTCTTGATGCACTGCACTTTCATTTTGTGGCCAGGAATAAACTTCTTATTACACAAATAATCAAACCTCTTGAGTGATAAAAATACATTGGTCCAAATGAAGAAAACAAAACCACCCTAAAATGTCAAGATTTTAATCTTGAATGAAGTCATGTATGAATCTTCTAACTCCATAATGATCTTTACTGGAAGCCTAATTCAGGCTAATTTCTTATAATTCAATTACACTGACCATGTTTCTTGATTTTTTTTTTTTTGGAGAAAAAGAGAGGCGGTTAAAAAAAGGATATGATGAGCTAAAGGAATAAAGCAAGTTACAGAAGAGAGATGATGGAAAAAAACCAAGAGGCTCACAAAATTTTTCAAGCTTTTTGAGTAAAATTTTGACAACATAAGTCTACAAGCTCATTTGTCATACCCAATGAGAAGAAAACAAAGGCAATAAAAATGTGTTTAACATGTACTTTTCAGTATTACAAAGGTAAAATCCTGAAGACATATTATAATAGCCGATTTAGATAGCTGTGCTCCTTTCCATTTGTGTTTGAAAGGAAAAGGAAACGCTAATGTATGAGTGGAAGAGTTCATTCTCTGTATCAAAGAAATTGATTGTTTTTCACCCTGACATTCCACTTAAATGTATGAAAACCATGTGTGGGATACGGCATCATATATCAGCCATTATTTGTACAGATGGTGTACAACAGTGTTTTCACTTTTGAACTAAAAAGATATAGGAATTGCTCACAATCACTGACAATGCAACAAGCCCTAAAAGGCATCTTGCAAAAGCTTTTAATTTTGCATTAAATTTTAATTATCGCACTTTTTAGTATTTATTACTCTAAAAACAAGCAAGACAAAAAAAAAAGTCAAAAATACCCACTTACCTCTGGACACCTTGAGGACAACTCAGAAGGGACACTATCAATTTCCCCTGCTTTTTTACAAACATAAGAAAATTTGTCTTCACATTTTTTAACTTTCCAACGTCCCTCCTAAGAAAAATAAAAAGTATGTTCTGTATACAAGCATATCCGCATTTACATACATGCACAAAGAGCAGTTATTCTTCCCAATTTAACTCTTTAATAAAGAGATAGACATTTTTTTTTCTCACTCCATTTATTTAACCTTACTTGGCCCACTTAGTTTTGCCAATGCTCTCAGCAGGACTTCTTGAATTAATCATACAGAAGGATTTGTCCCTCTGAATCACTCTTAGGAATGTAAAGCATTTCAACTGACTAAACTTACAGGAATGTTGAAGCACTTAATTTTCAGAATCATGCATTGACTATTTTTTACCTATATTATAGTTCTTTGTAAGATTAACTTTTATATTTGAGCAGCCCTTATTCAAAACATTACAAAATTGTATGGTATAATCTTCAGTTACTGAATACTGTACATATACCAAGAGTAATGCTTAAAGAATTACATCTTGACCCTCCTTTTCCAATACTGTTA